AATTTAGTATATTGCTTTCCATTGACGAGTGAACTTATCTTACCCAATCATTTTTCTTTTCTTATTGTAAACTTAATAAAATAAATAACCATTTTCTCTATATTAAGTAAATTTGCGACCTCATCCCCTCCGTTTCCTCACTTCGGAAACCTGTGCGCTGATTCAGCACCTCCTAAAACAGAAAAATTTCCCTGATTCAACTTACAACATTTTACTGATTTACGGCTACCAATTATATTAGTTTACTGGCTTTTTCCTTACTCAGAACCTCTCTGCGTACAATATCATCATCGGCGCAACAGCCCATTCCGAGCCAAGACCGTCTGCCTACTGGTAGATTACGAGACGAGATTTTTTTCTTTTTACGAATATTTTTTGTCAGCCCAACGCCCAACAGCCACATTAAACCAGGACCTAAACTGTTTAAAGTGGAATCCCTACAAGCATCCATGGCACCACCAGGACTCCAACCTGAAACCAGTGACACCGAACGCTAGTCACTTGACCATCAGGCCCCCAAAAGAATATTTCTTCATTGGCGCAACAGCCCCATGGTGGGCCAAGGCCGTCTGCCTAGTGGCAAATTTCGAGACAGGGGATGTTTTCTTTTTAAGGAATAGGGGTGTTAGCCCTACGCCCAACAATCATATTAGATCGGGACCTATTGCTTAAAGTGTAATCCGAACCACTACAAACATCCATGGCACCGCCCGGATTCGAACCCGACACCTGTGGCACCGAACGCTAGTCATTCGGACATCAGGCCCCATGTACAATATACATTAAAAATACATTTACCAGTTATTTAATTAGAAAAAAAATAATATATTTTTTATGAAATTTAATTTTAAAAAGATAGAACGAACATCCTAAAAAAATTCTATTAAAACAGTACAGTAAACATCAAATTATTGCAAAATACCCACTCTTATTAAAATAAATACAGAGCTATTATTTCCTTTGCGCTATTTTTATTAGGATTATTAAGAGGGAGTAACATGGTTTATTTTAACAAGTGTTTTCTTTAAGAAATTCGCAAAAAGAAATAGCAAAACGTCACGAAATGGCAAACAGGAATTCTCTTTAAATGTGTTTTTTAAAGGTTTGATGTGATTTGTCGTTCTACGGTCATTTTAAGCACACTTTAGGTTAATTAGACCTGAACCTGCAGTTTAACGTGGATTTCAAGCCACAGCGCTTGCCAATTGCCCATCAGGCAGCTGTTTTTTAAACTGTACCATTGAATGTTGCTTTTTCCCCTCTACGTACACATAATGAAAGCCCAATTTACGAGCAAAATTAGTACGCATTACATAGAATTAGTACAAAATTTCAACATTACATAGAATTAGAAAAAAATCACCAATCGCGCGCATTGCATTCGTCAGTAATTTTCACTCATTCAATTCCTTCTATTCGCTCACACTCTCCATATATATATCTTGTTCAAATTTTTAATCGTTAACAAAATACTTTTTATTCATCCACTCAAGTTCAAATACATTTTTTTTTTTTTTTTGAACTTGTAGCAGATGGCACTGGATGTTAATACAGTTTTTTTTCAAATATTAACTCAATAATTTAATTTAATTAATTTTTTTTTTTTTTTTTTTTTTTTAGATTTAAAGTTGCATATCTACCCATAGAGGGCGCCAGATAAACTTAAAAAAATGAATGACAATTATTTATAAAGGACTTTCTGCAATAGAGTGAAAAAAAAGTAGGAATTGGTTTTTAAAAAAAAATTATATTACTTGTTTTTAGATATTTTTACAAATTTACCAGATCGATAAAATTTCATGATTTCCCAGTTCTGTCGCCAACTTGCCCCTAGGTGGCGTTGGCTGAGTGCCGGTGTCAGATCTCGAATTAGTCAAAAACAACCAGTCTCTATTTCTTGAAGTAATGCCTTCTCTCTTCAAGGGTGGATAAAATAAGAGATACCTCCTTTCTTTCTATTCTAAATATTAATCTTTCTTCAACACAATTTTTAAATATGTGAAAATATCTGGAGAAGACCGGAGAGAAAAGAAAAAAAAAAAAAAAAAGAACAAGAAGAATCAACATTTCCACAAAAAGTTTGACTTTTTTGTGACGAATCTGTATATTAATTCACTAAATTTTTTTAACAACATAATTTAGTCTGTTATTGTAACCATTGTTAAAAGAAATCATATTTCTTACAGACATAATTATAGTATTTGCCAATTATTTCTAATCATAAAAATTTCTAACACATAGTGTAACGAGAACTCATTCATCTGATATTCAGAAATATCGCAGATAAAGTTATTCCTCAGGCTGCATTCACATTACCATGGTAGATTTTAAACCAATAATAACAGAAGAAGGCATCTGGACATAAACATTAGCCTCCTCTTTAAAACTAATGGAAGGACATTAGATCTATCGCTGCCATAGACATAATAGAATTTACTTTTTGAACCAAACCTACCTAAGATTTATAAGTCATTATAAACCTTAAGATAATTTCATTAATTTTACACCAAGTTCCCGATAAAACTGCTAAGTAACAATAAGCATTAGTTAAAGTGGGAGAACACATAGGTTATGAAATAAATATTCTTGCCTTCCTTTCCTTGTTATTCCTAATTTGAGTTGAGCCTCATATTTTTAAAATCAATAAATAGGCTTCCTAATATTTCTTATCTACACTCAAGAGTCAAAACATTATGACCACCTGTCAATAACGAGTTGGCCCACCTTTGGCGCGCAACACAGCTTCAACCCGCCTCGGCATGGATTAATACCACCACTTAATACCAGTTAAATACCACTTCCACCTGATCACGTGCCTTCCACGTCATCCAGGCAAGTTCATTGCAAAATGTAGGGGTGGTCCTAATGTTTTGGCTCTTGAGTGTATATCTTTTCAGTAGCCTCTTAGCCACCTTGGCCTTTAGCCAAGATGTTGCCCAAGGAACACCACGAGGAGGTGGGCTACTTCAGTTCCTCACCCTCCCTCCCACCTCTATTTCATCAATTTCTTTTTGTTTTCTTTTTCCAAAAGAAGAGCTAAATAACATTTTTCAGCTATGGCATCGCAAATATATTCAATAACATCATTGTGCTGCAGTCAGTGATACAACAGCAAGGAATATCTTGTGGATATTGAAAACAGAACTCGTCAGATAATGGAATTCAAAGTCACATTTATCATTTATGTGCTAAAAACAGATGAAGAATAATCAATTCATCTAGAGTATCCAATCTTTGGCTACCAAGAGCAGCACGAATCTTTCGACGACACAAATCCTTCACCGAAACAGGTTGAGCTGGTAAAAGACACATTTTAAATCAATAAAAGATAATAAAACTACAAAAAAAAATTTTTTTATACTTACATTTTTTTTTTTTAATGATTAAAATTAAAAATATTCACATAGCTTTTACTGTAATGATAGAAATTATGATCATAAATCACCCTAAAAGCTAAGATTTGGTTGTACAAATAAAATCATTTAACCTTTTGAAATTTGTTTCAATAATATCATTATGAAAATAAATTCTTTTTATATTTTATCACTATAAAACATCAGTTATTAAAAAAATTATAGTCTTAGCAGTGCTTGTTACATTATAAAACTAGATAATAAAAAGGGGCAAGTGTAAATACAGTGGGTAATGTACATAATAAAGAAAATATTACAAAATCCACAATTAAAGCAAAGATAAAGATTTTAATATAATTTTCATTATTGATTAAAATAAAATTTTTTAATTCTTTTTATATAGTTTAGATTTCAGTTTTAAGATAAAATCATTAACCAAACTAATATAGGTATAATTATAGTATAAAATAAAGTAAATATTGTTTTCAAGATACAATAAAATAAATCAGATTACCTGCTGACTAAAATAACAAATCAAATAACTGCCCTGCATTTTGAGGAAGCAGATCAATAGGCAACTTATTTTGGATATTTCGCACATAAACATTGGCACCATACTGAATCAATATTTCTGCAACTTCTAAATTGTTTTCCAATGCTGCAATATGGAGAGCCGTTTCATTGTTTTTATTAGTCATATTTACTAAGGCCCCTGTAAAGAAATTTTTTTTAATCACATTTCTATTGAATCTCAGAAAAATTCTTTTTTTCTGTATTAATTTGAAAATTTGTTACTATGTATATAAAAATATAAAAAATAAAGATTAATACTATGCATAAAAAAAGATTGAGCTTTTTGTTTTTTTAAATACTGCATGTGAAATAAATGCATTTTCAAAAATACACATGAAAAAATAATTAATAAAAAAATTAATGCATTATTACCTCAGAATTAGTATATATTCAATTTAAATTACTATATTTTTTTTAGAATGCAAAGATCTGCTACTTGAGCATGAATCTTAACTTCAACTGTTATAGGTAATTTTGAAAAACGTATTTGATGTAATGATGATTTAATTAGAATCACATTTTGAGCAGCAAATAATGAAATGTTTGGGGTAAGGTACATGATTCTGTACATTATAGGCAATCAAAGAAAATGGGCATATAATGCATACATACTGTTTCCAAATATAAGCAAATAATTCATTTTTTCTTGCAAAAATTCACCCAAATTCAAAAGCTGTATATATGCCTAAATAAAAATAATTTTCATAATATTCATTTATGGTATTCTATTATTATGTCTGGTATACATTTTAGCTTTTTTTTTGTTGTTAGCTGTGACCAAAATGAGATTTTTCATTTTGGCCATGACAGAACACACCAGCAAATAATAACAATTTTGAAAATAAAACTATCTCTTTTCATAAAACGAGTAACAAATTTTATTAAAATACTTTTATAGCTTAAGAAATATAAACTTGCAACATAAACAATATTTGGCAAGTACATTTGTATCGTTTTTTATGAAATTTATATTATTTGTAGGAATAGCGAAACTAATATATATATATATTATAATTGGGAAATATAGACTTGTAGTTCATAGCAGAAGGCCATTCAGGTCCCAAATTTGCCAATGGCACGCGGTGTTCCCAGGTGGTCACCCTCCCAAGTACTGACCGCGCCCAATGATGCTTGACTTCGGTGATCTAACGAGAACCGGTATATTCAGCATGGTACGGCCGTTGGCTAAATCCTAAAAATTGAATACAACTTTTTGTTTTTAGCAGAAGCCCTGAAAGTTTTTTTTTATGATAACAATAGACAATGACTTTTTTTAACATCTATAAAAATTATAGTTTTTTTCAGTAGTCTGTAGAAAACTAAAAATGTTTGTTATTTTTAGTATAAAATACTGAGAATTTTAGTTTTCTACCGATTACTGAAAAAAACTACAATTTCTATAGATGTTAAAAAAAGTCATTATTGTCTATTATTGGCAATGTATTATTTACAAATCAGTTATCTGTATAATTATTCTCAAAAGTAACCAAATATATTCTAAGTATCATCATAACTTACATTTGTTTCCATATCCAAATTAGTCTTTACGATGTACACACAACCTTCATTTAGAACTGCTAATTCATCATAACTTGGTTGGTTAGAATTAGATGCCTCCATCATAGAACTATAAAAAAAATGCAAGAATTAAAACAGAAAATTATATTCAAAAATGAGCTAGATAATTTATAACAGGATGCATAATGCTATTTTTTTTAGCAAATAGTATCAGTTTTATAAAGCCTGACTGCATTAAAAATGAGATAATAATTCATCCTTATAAAATGAAAGTAATTTGTTGGTATCGTTTTCTAATCTAAGAAGTTATGAATATGTTCTAAAATTCTTCATTAATTAAGAGATAAAAAGTAAATTCACAAAATATAGTATTCTTAAACAAAATTATAACCTATTTAAATGTGTAATTAGTAGTTAAAAAATTTTTTTAAAGAGAAACCCCTAAACCTGTATTCTTCCAAAAATCTTTTAAATTTCTTAAGTAATTTTGAAGAAAAATACAACTTTTTCTTGTTTATGCATAAAAAAATTTAAATTGTAAGTGGAAATATGAGATGATATCCATAATATTAAATTAGAAATTTGTTTTTTAGAATTTTTCACACTATTAAAGTTGACAGAAATATTAATGCTTTAAAAAAAATTTTTGAAAAGAACAAGAGGTTTCCAGAATATGAGCCCTAAAGATTTTAAACCTAATTTGTAATGCAGTGGTTACATGCACAGGTAATGTGGAAGAAAGACTCGAAACTGATGGCAATGTTACTTCTTAAGAAATGAAGAGACTCCATAGAAATTTACACAGTGTATACAAGCATCTGGCATAGACTGTCTAATAAAGTCTTTATGAATTGTTTCCATTAGGCACAATAGGCATTTTATACCAAAAGACCTCTCAGAAAACAAGGTACTTTCAACACAACACACCTCTTGTGTGTTACTAGCGGTGTACATAACTGGAACTTGATGCAAAAATTTGATTAGCATAAGTATTTTTAAAATTCAGAATTAAAAATGCAACATTTATCAGTTTCATATAATCCTTTTATTATTAAAAGAAACTGTAGTTGACAAAATTGATTCAATAGAAAAAAATTAAAACATTAGTTTCAAATAATTTGTTTTCAAAATCAAATTATTTCAATTTAAATGTATCACTCAAATTTTTATGACAAAAAAATTCCGAAATAAATTTGATAACTTTCTTTAAAATTTTATGATATATAATAAAAAGACAAGTTGTTACAAATTTATAACATTGTAAATTTATTAATGTCAAATAAATTAATTAAAAAAAATATAAGGATCTTCTTAAAAGAAAGATAAATATACTATGCAAGTTTATTTGTAAATTAAATTACTATTACCTTCACTTAATATATATTTAAAAATAAACAGCATTAACACGAATTATTTTCCCTCATCAAGATATCCAAGAAAGTTATTCTTTATTCTAAGCCATTGACTTATTCAAGGATATTATTAAATATAGTTTAATGTCCCGAATTCATATAACGTCTTCCTTAAATCTATACATTTTTCTCAAAGTTTAAGCACTTAAGCATAAACAAAATTTACATCCAAGTTTCACCAAAGTAAACATGGAATTTTCCAATACTAAATCAAGGTCAACTAAAAAAATTTTGAAATTTGAACAATATTCATTCAGAAATGACTCAATTAGTATTAACTACAATTTAGTAACTTTTTGATGTTGGTGAATTTTTCATGGTTAATATTATTCTTTAATGCTATTGTGCTATTCATAGACAGGCAGACATAAAATGAATAAAGCTCACAAACTACTGAATTGCAAGCACCTAAAGTTCTGTTAAATAAATAAGAACATTTTACTTTGTCATTTTACAAATAAAAAGGTCACATTTTAAACATTGCCTCCTATATGCTCTGAAGAAGTAGTCAATTCAAAGAATTATCCACTGGTGTTCCAAAACTTCATAATCATGAATGGAGTTCCGTAGAAGGGAGTAAGAAAATATTTATCAGATTGTTTGTATTTTTATTAGAATGTATTTTTATTCATTAGTTTAAACAGGTTTTTATTGATAAATTTGAAATGCCACCAAAGAATAGAAAACTATTCAAGTAGAACAGAATCTGCAGGCATGGTTCAAAATATTGGTGAGTTTGGATGAGAAAAACATTTTTTTTTTCATAATTCTATTATAATTGTTGACTGGCTTTTGTTATAGAAATTTATGCTCTAAATTATGATAACATTAGTGGTTATAGTAATTATCAATAGAAATATAGAGTTGTTTTCTAACAATTTTATGCAAATTAAACATCATTGTATTAAAAAACATTGGTTAATATTCACCTTGGCAAACTATTAATAATATCATTTGAATTCCTATATGATTTATAATGAATTTTATTTCTATTTAATAGGAAGAGTTTCATGGTATTTATTTTAGGTTTTGTTTTTACCGAGTCAAATTTTTTAGTCATTTTTATTGTAATTGAATAATTTTAATGTAAGCATTTAAAAATATAATTATCTGAAAAAATTCAATACCTATATTTTATTTGCAAATTTTTCTTCCTCGACCACACATTGGAATAGAATGTGTTCTTCGGTTACAAGGTTTGGAAACCGAAGAAGGACATTGGAGAAGACGTTAATCCAAATCTATGGAGTCTGGCTGTAGAAGGATATGTTTTGGTGCGGAAACTTGAAAGTAGTACTTCTTCTTTTCTATTGATAGGTAAAAGACGATGAATTGATTTGATACTATTTAAATGCAACAGATCCATTGCGTATTTACTTTTGCTCCATTGTTCATTTGAAATATTTCTTTTTTTTTTTATGGTAGATGATGTCTTCCGGAGAAATCCACTTTAAAATTATTGTATCTGATGCGGTTTTTGCCAAAGAGTCTGCTTGTTCATTTTCCTGTATGCCAACGTGACCTGGAGTTCAAATGAATTGTAAAGATAAAATGTAATTTAGGTTTTGTTTGATTTGAATTTGGTGACTCTTGTGGATTTAAAATTGCAATTTTGGAGAGCTCGGAGAGCAGAGAGACTATCTGATAAAATAATGTAATGATGTGATTTGAGTACATACGTGGAAATTGATAAAAGCAGTGCCAGAGTTTCTTCTGTAAAAATATTATTATAATTAGAGATCGTCCCAGATGAATTTTCCTGTGTGAAAAAATTCATGCAAGAAATTGAGTGTTTGGCTGGAGATTTGGATGCATCGGTTGCTAAAATTACTTTATTTTTCCACTTTTTCTCTTTATATTGTTCAAATAAATTCTTGATTAAATGGTGTGGGAGTTGTTTGGTTTGAAAGGGTAAATCATCGAGATGAAAAGAAATTTTATCATGTTTATCAAAGGGATGAAATTGGGAATGAGAGAGGAAGGGGTGATGTGTAAATTTTTCAAAAGGTCAGCGAAAAATGTTTGGAGAGAAATTGGATGTTTCAAACGGGGAGAATAATTCTCCAATTTGAGAAAATGAGAGAGGGGTGAGGATGGATCAAAAGAGATGTGTTTCAGAAAAAATCTTTCTGCTAACATTAACTGTCTTTGGAAGAGACAGATTTGGCCGGCTTCTTTGTATAACACTGAAGTAGGAGTCCATTTAGGAAGACCCGTTGCGAAACGTAAAGCGATATTGTAAGCAATAGTGAGAATTTGGAGGTTGCTAAGAGGAAATAAAAATAGGAGTGCCATATTCCAAAATGCTACGAATAGTGGAGTTGACGATTTTAATAAGATGCCTTGAACGACATCCCCAAGTGTTTGCAGCAATTGCTTTAATTGCATTGAGTTTTTTAATGTAAGAAAAATGTTGCCTGAAATTGAGATTATGTGAAAAAATCAGACCCAGGATTCGAGTATGTTGTTTCCATGGAATATTAGTGTTATGAATTTGTAAATGAATATGTGGAATTTGTTTTTTGTTTGAAAAATTTACGACTTCGCTTTTTTTCTGGTTGGAGAATGAAGTTCCAAGTATTACACCAATGAGAGATTTTATGCAGTGAAAATTGGAGATTAAAGAGAACTGTTTTTAGTTTATAGTCACTGCTGAAAAGAAAGATGTCGTCAGCATAAATAAGGCATTCAGTATGATTAGGAAGGACTTCAAATAAGTCTCTCATATAGATTGTGAAAAGAAAAGCGCTGAGAACACTACCTTGTTGCACGCCCTGTGTGGAAAACAATTTCATCGATACAGTGTTTCTCCATTTGACAATAAAATTCCTGTTGTTGATGAAATTGTGTATCCACTTTGCTGCTATGCCTTTAATTCCTAACTGTAAAAGTTTGTAAATTAATCCGTCTCTCCAAACGGAGTCATACGAGACGATAAATGAAGTTTTATAAAGATAAAAAAAAAATTTTCATATTCTTGGCTTCAACTATTTTATGATGAAGAAGATATAAAGTGTACATACAGTCTTTAAAAGGAATGAATCCGGAATGATTAAATGAAATTTTTTGAAATCTGAGAATTGAAGGAGTCTCTTGAGAACGATTCTTTCGAAAATTTTACTTAATATGGAAGTTAGAACTATTGGGCGATAAAATGCAACAGAACTGTTATCTTTATTTGGTTTGAGGATCGGAATGACTTGAGCGGTGAGCCAATCTTCCGATATGTTGCCTGAGATCCAAATATTATTAA